CCGCAATCGACGAACAGATGGCCCGTGCTGCGTTCACGGACCGACAGTTAGAGGAGGTGGCTGCGTACCTCCGCTGCTGTGCGTCACTGCCGTTCATCTCCCTCTGTCACTCCAGGCTGTGATGGCGGAGGCGAACGATACCGACGTAATGATGAGCTACCACGGTGATTTCCCAAAAAATGACAGAAAAAGCAGCCGCTACCCTTTCTGCATTGTCTGGACACCCATTCCCATTTTAACGTAAGAGGCTACTGCAGTATTGATGCTCCTGTGCTGTGGCAGCAGATGCTAATACTGTTTCCTTTTAATGGTATTGCGTTAGCTGTTTTGCTGGACATTCAGACGTACAGTAATTGCCTCGTGTGTTATTTGCGTGCGTCCTGCAGGTGGGTGCTCCCCTTCATCGGTCACATGGGCATATGCACTTCTGCTGGAGTCATACGAGATTTCGCAGGGTCATATTTTGTCTCGGTGAGCACTGCTTTTGCATCGAGTTTATCACATCACAGCATAGAGACTGATGATAAAAGGCTAGACCTTCTCAATGGGAGTCTCAAGGATAGATTCGCATTAGCGGTGGGAAGCAATTTGAATATGGTACTGGTATTGGATCAGTGCTACTGTGTTATAAACTGTATTGAGATTTAGTCTTTTTCTACCTTTATAAGTTTAAAGTATCAGTGTCAGTGTTGGTGTTGTCAATACTGGCCCTGTATTTATTTGGTATTGGATCATGCAAAATTTGCATTATCGTACAGCACTAATGATTTCCGCTCTTTCCAGGAGGATAACATGGGGTTTGGTAGACCCACAAAGTAAGTTTATTGATGATATTATTGTCTTTTAACAAGTAGGTGGGAGCAGAGATAACACATTAAAGGTAACTCACTGTTTTCTTTTAAAATAATACTGCAGGTATTGGAAGCTTGATGTGGATAAAGTGTGTGGTAATGGTGCAGCTACATGGGACAAAGCTGTGCACGATGCATCAGAGGAGTACAAATGCAGGCCGGTAAGATTGTTGTATTTAGCATTCTCTTATGAATTAATTAACACATTTCTGGATTGTGTTTATGGAAGGCCTTCAGTGCCAAAATGAATTAAGTGTTTGTTTAATTAATTACAATTAAAATATATTTTTAAATATGTAATACTATTTAATTATAGTTTTAATTAATTAATTATATAATGATGTATTTATTTAATTCATTTTGACACTAGTGACCCTCCTTACACATTAGTGATTTAATAATAAATACTTATTTATTTACTTTTTGTTGAAGCACAATCTGTGCTTTGATAACTGCCATTCCCACGTTGCCATGGCCCTCAACCTGATGCGCTACGACAACAGCACATCCTGGAACATGGTGAACCTGTGTGTGCTGTCTCTCACTCACGGGAAACACGTCAGGTAAATATTTTGGCCACTTATTCCAGCACTGCAGGAATAAAACACATGTATGAATGATAAGAGCGGCTAGAGACAGATCACTATTCACACTGTCATTCCTACTACAGCCTAACCCAACATGCATGTCT